ATTTTAAATTAAAAGAAACTTTATTTTAATATATAATATATAGTATTTTATTTATCATTTTCATTACTTTCATCCAAGCATATTAATTTATCATCACTCTTATATAACATAGTTAGTTCATTTTCAAGTTCTTGATTGTTTTTATCAGACTCTTGATTTTTCTTTAAAGCTGCATACTTAGTATTGTTATTAGTAGTTTCTTGTAAACTAGACAATAATTCAAAATTTTGTTTCGAATAATTATTAGCCAAGCACAAGCGATAATTAGTATAAATATATACTAATTTTAAAATATGCTCAGGCATAAGCCAATTTCTTTTTTTGTCTTGAATGTATGCAAATGCAGACCAATTTTGTTCAGATGCAGTAGATGATGTTAGAATAGTTAATACCCAAACTGCAACTTGATATAAGTCATAAGCAGTAGTATTAAAGTTTTCCTTCCACCAAGTGATTGGTATAAGCTCAGATAGTGATTTCAAATTCCAAATTAATGAGCTACTAAAAATACTATTTTGAGCTCGATATTTTACTAATTGATTCCAAATATCTGTCAAGTTAGATAGATAATATTTAGAAATGAATATAGTTATTGTTATAATATTTGATAGTAGTAAATATTGTTCAACAAGTTATGGATCAAGAATATAAACAACTTCTATTACTAGATGATATAATTTTTCTTACCATTTTTTAAAAATTATTTTAAGTTCATTATATGTAGATGAATTACAAATATTTAAAAAAAAAGATAAAATAATATTAATTTTTAAAATATACATAAATTTTAAGCATATATAAATTAGCCGTACAATTAAAATTCAGCAAATTCAAATAAAATTTTAAATAAGAATATCTGGGTAACTTTACTTAGTATATATATATGTATATATGTGTTACTATAACTTTAAAAAAATTTACTAAATTTTGATTGTATAATATATATGTTCAGAATTTAGTAAAGTATGAAACCATTCTCAAAACTAAGACAATTTTAGATTATCACTTTCAAATTCAGCAATTCCACAAACTAGATATTTTAAGATTTCTGCCAAATGAAGAGCCTCATTCTAATAATTTTCATTGAAAATGATTGATGCAATATCTTCACCAATTTTGTTAGTTGCATATTGTGTAAGCTCAGTTGTACTTAATATTAAAGCAAGCTTGTTTGATAATATAGAATTTAAACAAATAGCAGATGATCCCTAATATATTTTAACTAGAGATAGATTGGTCCATTCTGATCGGTCTCGATCCCCTTTGGACTGATTTTATAGTATTGATTAGTCTGGTCAAGTCCGTCTTTTGGTCCTAGAATCGGTCTTACGGCATAAATTTTTCAACACTTAATGTTAAAATTAGCTGACAAATTGCTAAATTGTCAAATACATATAAATATATATTTTATATATGAAGCTAATATAAGACCATATAAATTTAAATTATATATATGAAGCTAATTTAATACTATATATTTTATACACAAAGCAAATTTAATACCATATAAATATAATATCTATTTTATACATGAAGTTAATTTAATACTAAGAATTAAATACATAGATATTTAATTATCTACTTCACAAATTTCTTTTTGAAGCCAGCTTTTCAAATATAGAATTGCCCTCGCAGAGTCATCTTCTAATCTATTTCTTGTCGCTGAAATAGTAAGACCTGCTATAGAGAATGCTTGTTCTGAAGCTACACTAGTAGCTTGAATAGCCAAGTAATCTCTTGTGATTAAGCTTAGAGTAGGATATTCGGTTTGTGCTTGCTACTATACTAACGGATTTGAATTGTCTTCTAATGGTAATAATAAATATCTTTCTAGCTCATTTTATAGACTATCCAATTGTTTATTTGTAAGTGATATATTAAAAGAAATGGGCGGAACTGAGGTAGAAAAAGTAAATGAAGTAGAAGAATCAAGGGAAATAGAAGAATTAGTTAGAATAGAGGGAACAGAAAAAATAGGCGAAATAGAAGAAAGGGAAGTGGTAGCAAATGTGGAAGATAATAGAAAAGCAAAAGCAATA